TCCCCAGTACCTCAGAAAAAAAAAAAAAAAAAAAAAAATATGCAGGGAGGAGCACTATAAATAGAAAAGAGGTCTCATCTGAAGAAAGCTTCCAACTGAAAGAGAATATGGGGAAAGAAAAATTTCTAGACATAATCATGAATTTTGTAAGGCCTGGGAAATATAACTTTGACTTAGTGCTGAGGTTACAGAATAAACAAAACTAGGTATCCTGTCAAAGGTAATATATCGTGGTTTTACCAAAAACCATGGCTGACTCTAATAAAACAAGTAGGAAGAAAGAGGACAGTAAGCTGAGTGCGATGGCATGTGTTCCACATCGCAGCGACTCAGGAGGCTTCCGCAGAGGATCACCTGAACCTAGGAGTTTGAGGTCACCCTAAAGCATCTCAAAAAAATAAAATCTGTGTAGTTCGTACGAAAATATCTGTAACATCTTACATGAGGGATATGGCTACCTGGCAAATATGGTATCCCTAGAGATCTGTAACCAGTCCCCCGGATACTGAGGGGTGACTCCACAGGAAAAAGATATAAAGCAGTTCCCGACACAGAGTACAAGTGTCAGTTGTCATGACAATGACAACACAAGATGACAACTACATACTGCCAAGGCTCAGGGAAAATGTTGCCTCCTCCTTCTATCTGGAAGGAATCATTTTCTCCTCTGAATTCGTACAGCACTTTAAACTGTCAGCTCTCTCAAAATACTTCTGCCTATCTCATATTATTTTTACTGTCTTCACTACTAGACTTTAAGTCCTAAGAACAAAATCACTTTTATGTCATTTTATCATCTCTAGTTCCTTTTATGATGACACCCTGTTCCTAGTTACCTACTGTACTACCACAGGCCATCTCTGGATGGGTGGCTACTTGGTCATAGGCAGGGTACTTCTGCCAGCACGCAAAGCCTCAGCTATTCTTACCACAACATCGTCCAAGATCTTAGTAGGGCAAGGTCTGGAATGAAATTCAAAGTGTTCATCCTCTGATTTCTTCTTTGACTCACGCTCCTGGATTCTTTTCTCAATTTCCAAATCAAAGCCAATAGGCTGAGTGGGTGGTTTCACAGGTGGTCTCTTCAGTAAGATGGGCCCACCTTCAAGAATTCTGGGATCTATTTCTCGTGCTTTGAATTTGTATCTGCAAGGTGAAGTTGAAATGATAACTACAAAACAAACAAACTTACATTAAATGAAAACTAAACAAATAACAAAGTGGAGCAAAACCAAACACTAATAATCATTGAGATGACCCATCATGTACAATAATATGTCCTGTCTGTATAGCCACTGTCTTTACTGCTCCGAGGAGAATAAATGAGACAGCCCTAACACTGCCACCATTTTAAGGAACCTCTTCACAGGGGAACTTCCTCCTTCTCAAAACCAAAGTTCAGATTCCATGTCATTCCAGTCAGAATGGTTATTAACATGAATACAAAAAAAAGGGCTGGGGGTGTGGCACATGCCTATAATCCTACCACTCCAGCCTGAGGCAGGAGGATCACAAGTTCAAGGCCAACCTGGACTACATAGTGAGTTATCCTGAACTACATAGTGAGACCCTGTCTCAGAAACAAAACAAAACACAAAAAATAGTAAGTGCTATCAAGATGGGAGTGGGGAAAGGAACCTTCTACCCTGCTGATGAGAATGAAAATTAGTATAGCCAACATGCAAATCAGTATGGAGACTCCCCCCAGAACTGAAATGATAGCTACCATTTAATGCAGATATACCACTCCTTGGTATATATCTTGCCTTGCCTTACTTCACTTACAGAGAAGCCACAAAGCAAGAACAAGGATGGCAGGTAAGGCAAGGATAGGCTGGCTGGGCTGGCATTTTTTGATCTCTAGTTTTCAAGGCTATTTTCTGGCTAGATCTTATTTTCTGTTATCAGAAAAGGGATATAAGGACAGGTAATGAAGGGAATGAATATGATGAAAAACCATTATAAGCCAGGCGTGGTGGCATATGCCTGTAATCCCGGCACTCAGGAGGCTGAGGCAGGAGGATCACTGCAAGTTCGAGGCCAGCCTGGGCTACAAAGTGAGTTCGAGGCCAACGTGAACTGCATAGTGAAACCCTGTCTC